TCATCATCAACGTCGCTATGCTCGTCGGCGCCCAGCTGTGGGGTCAAATGTTCACCCTCGCCCCTGAGGTCACCCGCGCCCGCATGGCCGCCTCGAGAATCTTCAGTCTCCTCGACCTCAGCAAGTCTGACGCCGACCCGGCAGGCAAGGCCGCCGACGCTGCCGACGCCGCCTCAGAGTCCTCCAAGGGCAAGGAGAAGGAAAAGGACGTCGAGGCCCTCGCCAACCCCAACCCGCGCCCGTCCCCCGGTCGCGGCGGCGTCGCCGTCTCCTTCAAGAACGTCTCCTTCTCCTACCCTGCCCGCCCCGAGGTCCAGATCCTCGACAACATGTCCTTCACCATCCAACCCGGCCAGTTCTGCGGTCTCGTCGGCCCCTCGGGCGCCGGCAAGTCCACCGTCATGGCCATCGTCCAGCGCATGTACTCGGCCAGCACGGGCACAATCGAGATTGACGGCATGGACATTTCCAAGTTCGACGGCACCGACTTCCGCGACGACATCGCCGTCGTGCCCCAGGACAGCGCCCTCTTTGACGGCAGCGTCAAGTTTAACGTCGGCCTCGGCGCCCGCCCCGGCCAGGACGCCACGGACGAGGAAATCGAAGAGGCCTGCCGCCTCGCCAACATCCACGAGACCATCGTCGGCCTCCCCCAGGGCTACGACACCGAGTGCGGCCCCAACGGCTCCCAGCTCTCCGGCGGCCAGCGCCAGCGCGTCGCCATCGCCCGCGCCCTCGTCCGCAAGCCCCGCCTCCTCCTCCTCGACGAGAGCACCTCCGCCCTCGACGCCGAGAGCGAAAAGGCGCTCCAAGAAGGCCTCGAGCGCGCCGCGCGCGGCATCACCGTCATCGCCATCGCTCACAGGCTGCACACGGTCCGCAAGGCCGACGTCATCTTCGTCGTCGAGGCCGGCGCCGTCGCCGCCAAGGGAAGGCACGAGGAGCTCATGGAGAAGAGCGAGAGTTACCGCCTCAACGCCATGCAGCAAATGCTGGGTCACTAGGCAAGGGGCACTGGGGGGGGGGGGGGGGGGGGGGGGGAAAAGAAGTCCGGGGCTTTTCCATTCCGTTACTTGGTTCCATATTTTTCTCAATCTCTTAAAAAAAGTGTAATATCAAGTCCCTAGACCCTTTGAGGGCGGGACATTCTGAATTTCTCTCTCGCAAAGTCATCATCATCATCATCATCAGTTAGGAGTTCATAGATAGGAATGGGTGAAATCTCAAAAACAAAGGTCAAATTTTTTTTTTTTGCATCCTCACATTCCCGCATATTCAAAGATTAAAGGGAGCCGCAATACCTCAGCCCCGTAAAGACCAAATCACACCCGGTACTCTCCATGCACTTCCTCTCCATGCAACAGTCTGATGTCTCGCTCGTGTCATCTCACCCTCAGACGTGCCATCTGTTCGCCCGAGCATCCAAGCTCAACAACTTGAAAAAGAAGCGCGTTTAATGCATGAAATAGCCGGGGCGAGCCGAAAGAAAAAAAGAATGTCGGGGTCTCGGAGAACTCGTGTATCCCGCATGGCTTTTTTGTTCTCTGCCCTCTTTTTTTCCACAAGTTCGCGACTCTTTGCTTTGACCTTCTCATTCAGGGGCTTGCTTTCTCTCGCATGGCGAAGCTTCAACACGTTTTGTGTCGCTTCACTTTTTACTTTCCCTTTCTGCGCCTGGGCTGTACGCTGGCACTCACGATACTGGCTGGGGCTTTGGGGAGGCATCATCGCAACGGTCTGGTTTCATACAAAGATGAGATTTGAGGAAGAACGGTCAGGTCAAGTATTGGCACGGCGCGCTAGTGAATGAAGTGCTATACAGAATGCCAAGAATATTGTCACCATAGTCCACACAACAGTTATAGGTGAGAGATAGGGGGAGGAAAGTAAGAGGCGACGGAAGGCGACTGAATATGCGATCTAAGGAAACGTTTCCACCTAGTATCCGTGAAGCCAATTTCCATGCATAGTCCTCCGCTAGCCTTCAATTCTTGGATTGTACCCAAGCATCGCAGGAGTTTCTCTGTGACCAGGTCAGGAGGCTGCACCTGATCCTGTGACTCCAAGCGACAACGTGACTGCGTATCTTCATAAACCCCTGCTTCGTGGGGGAGACCGATAACCGTGTGAAAACCCATTCCAAAAGTGCTGAACCGTTACATAGCAGACCGAAACGCCGGGAACATTCTGAAGCCGTGAGGTGACTAGACCGTCAGAAAGTCGGAGGCTTAAGCCATCTCAAAGTTGCCAAAGGTGTTCTCGCCGGAGTAGGTGATGTAAAGGAATCTGAACACAATAGGTCAGCAACAAAGAGCTTGTGTCAAGGTAGCAGAATGCTCGTGAAACGTACCCGTCCTCGTCTTTGTGCTCCTCGTAGATGCTGCTCATGAGAGCGGCGGTAGGCGGCAGCACCTCATCGACGAAGATGAAGATGGCCTTCTCCGGGGAGAGCTTGATGCGCTTGCGGATGACGTAGACGAACTGACCAACCGTCAAGTCGGCGGGGACGAGGTACTTCTTCTTATCAATAGTAGCGATATCAGACTTCTCGACCTTCTCGCAGATAACCTGTGTTGTGAGGGCCTTGTCAGCTTTCGGACTTGTAAAGGTAGGTAGATAGGCAGATCGGCGGTGACGGTCGGGGAACGTGGGGCAGCCTCCAATAACGCGCGAAGCTGACGAATGCAGTCACGGCGAAACGGCGGAGCTGTATCTCTGTACAGAGACTACAGAGGAATAGCCACGAGATGAGGCCGACGCAATGGAGAGTTACAACGTACGGGAATACGATCAGAATACTTCTGGCGGATACGCTCGGCCTCAGCCTTACGCTTCTCAAAGGGGTGCTCGTCCTTGAACTTGGATCGCATGATGACGGATATGTGGTGGGTGAAGTGGAAGTGGGTTGTGGGTTTGTAAATGGGCTGGTCGTGGGGAGTTGGGCGACGGTCAAGATATAGATGGCTCGATGTTTGTCGACTGGTGGTGCCTGATGCGTCGGAGTATGTAGAAGGGAGAGTTGAAGTAACGAGGGGCCGTTTGCGAAAGGCAAAAGAAGGATGGACGGTCGGTTGCCGCCTGCTTTGGGGTGCCTTGGGGTCAGACACGGGGGACGGGAATGGGCGGTCACTGACTGGAAGTGTCTGGGTGGCTCAGGCGGCTGGTTGGTAAAGCAAAGCACCCAGAAAGGCAGGAACCTAAGACCAGCCAGGTACCTTTCCGCAGTGTATTAGCTGGTGAGTGACATCCATTGATGGCCGTGTAATGACTAAGCCGGTGAGAGAGGTGCTCAACTCAACCCCACGCCCTCCTTCCCCTCCCCTCCTCATCCTCATCCTCATTGCATAAGCCAGCTCCCTCCCACTCCAGCACTCCAGGTCCTCCCGTCCTTATCCTTATCGGATTATCGGAGCGGGGCAAGACACCGATGCGCACCCCAGCAACCCAGCAATCAGCAGCGCAGTGAGACTGTGAGGTGAGGCCAGCGCAGGTGCTCCGGGTGCTGGGGGCAAAGATTGACCACAGGCAGGCAGCTGACCGTCCACGCAGCCACTTGACACAGCCTGGCAGCCTGTCACGCCTTTCTGGATCCGATTTGAGTCACAGGAGAAGGTCCTGGCACACTGTTCCATTCTATTGGAGTACGAGTACCTTGCCTTAGTTGCTTAGGTCCAAAAGTAGGGGCCTACCTGAGGTTGGTTCCCTCTTCGGACGGGACTGAAAGCTCTCACGGGATCACCGTAGTCGCAACCTCCTGATACGTGCACGCAAGCCGGCCTTGTCTGTGCATGCAAAGCTGCTTGTTGTCTTCAAAGCCGCTTGAAGTGCATTGTCACTCAGAGCCTTGGACGGGAGAGTCTGTACAATGCCTTTGCAAATTACCTATCCTCGTCTTGACGTCATTTATCCCCGGTAAGAGGTGAGAGGGAAGCAATTTGCGAAAGCCCACTCACAATAGGACTTTGAGCGACCACGGGAACAGTTGACCCTTCAGGTTCTAGGTAGGTTGACAGCGACAGGAAGGAACTGTCACTGGACTTAAACCCAAATGGCCCAAGTGCTCTTATCTGCCGATCTTACTTAAGCGACCCCACTCTGGACCTCCGATAACCGACCTCAGGTCCCCTACCTTACCTTAAGACATTGTAAGCGAATACAAGCGCTTCTACCTTTCCCGACATGCTGGCAGCTGGGCAGCTCTCATCCTTGGGCTGCTTCTCATGATGTATATGCACTGGATGACCTAAGTCAAAAGCCACGAAAAAGTGCGAATACCTATGTGATGAGATGGTTCTGGAAGTGATTTCCGTTTCAAGACTTGAATTGATTCTATGAGAGGAAAAGAAAACTCCGGGATTCCACCCTGGGCACCCAAGGTTGCATTTCCGCTTACCTTACAGCAGAGCGAACGCGAGCTACCTTACCCTTCCCACCTATCTTATCAAGGGCATAGAAGAGTTCTACGCCTCTTGGCCTAATAGATTAAAAAGCCAAGCTCCTGTACGGTTGGGCGAAGGACATCACTTCAGAGGTCTATGACAGCTACAAATAAGCATGCAGCAATACAGGGGCAATTCCTCACCGCGTGTTGGTCCGTTGAAGCTTGTCCGGCGTTCGGCGGCAGATGCACGATTCTCGGACTCACTAGTCCTCACCCCACCTCTCCAGCGGCCCATAGCCGGCAGAGAGCCCGGTCCAGGCTGTGGATGCGCTGGATGGACAGCTGCTGCACTGCTGTGCTCTGTTGGGTCGGAGCAGGGCGGCAGGGGTCCCGCACCTAACCAACGTGGAACGATTTCGGAATTTACTTTTACAGCTGGCCTGACTGGCTCAATCCTCGAACGACGTTCCAGTCAGTCCATGATTGCAACCCAGTGGTCTTATGCCTCTCACTTGAGAACGAATCATCCGATTTTCCCTCCCTGTAACAATCCAAGTCGCTCTTTTCTTCGTTGTTCGTTCCCATTATAGAGTTTGTATTTATATTCCTTTCGCCCATCATGGCCTCCACAAAGCAATCGCAGAGGTTGCTTGCACAATTCGCCAGTTCCCGAACTAGAATCGCCATCACCACCACCAAGCAGCAACAGCTTCAATTCGGTCGCAGACTCGTCTCCTCCTCTTCAAAGTCCCATTTTAAGGGTCAACAGTCCGGTGCCGCTTATAGCCGCTTCCTCATTGGCGCAATTGGTCTTGCTGCTGCAGCTCCCATCGCCTACAAGATGGTACTGCAGCTTATGCCCTTCACCACCACGAACCCCAAAACCTCCCCAATGCCGGAGCTTCCGCCTTTCCCATTGATGCATCAAAGCTCGCCCGTCACTAACATCACTGTCCGATGCAGGCCGTCCAAGAACCCTTCCAACTCGATCCGCCGACCCTGGCCGAGCGCGATGCCCTGACCAAGCGGGAGTCCGAAGTTACCGTCGACTCGCCCATGCGCCTGCGCATGGAAAAGTTCATCAAGGAACAACAACAGATCATCGTTAAGGAGCTCGAAAAGGTCGACGGCACCAAGTTCCGCAAGGACGAATGGAACCGCAAAGAGGGCGGCGGCGGCATCACCTGCGTGCTCCAGGACGGCAACGTCTTTGAAAAGGGCGGCGTCGGTGTGTCCGTCGTCTACGGCACCCTCCCCAAGCCCGCCATCGCCAAGATGCGTGTGAACCACAAGAACCTCGACGACAACGTCGACTCCCTCCCCTTCTTCGCTGCCGGCCTCAGCATGGTCCTGCACCCCAAGAACCCCATGGCCCCGACGGTACACCTCAACTACCGCTACTTTGAGACGTCGAACCCCGACGGCACCTCGCAGGCCTGGTGGTTCGGCGGCGGCAGCGACCTGACCCCGTCATACCTCTTTGACGAGGACGCCGTGCACTTCCACAAGACGCTCAAGGAGACGTGCGACTCGCATGACAAGAGCTACTACCCGCGCTTCAAGAAGTGGTGCGACGAGTACTTTTACAACAAGCACCGCGGCGAGTGCCGCGGCGTCGGCGGCATCTTCTTTGACGACCTCGACGAGACCGAAAAGGACCGCGAGAACACCTTTGCCTTCATCCAGGACTGTCTCAAGTCCTTCCTGCCGGGCTACCTCCCCATCCTCGAGAAGAGAAAGGACATGCCCTTCAACGAGGCCGAGAAGGACTGGCAGCAGATCCGCCGAGGCAAGTACGTCGAGTTTAACCTTGTCCACGACCGCGGCACCGCCTTTGGCCTCAACACCCCCGGCTCAAGAGTCGAGAGTATTCTCATGAGTCTGCCCCTGACGGCCAGCTGGAAGTACATGCATGAGCCCGAACCCAAGAGCCGCGAGCAACGCCTTGTGGATGTCCTCAGAGCGCCCAAGGAGTGGGTTTAGAAGCAGGGCCGAGGAAACGGGGTAGGGGAGGAAGAGGAAACCTGGTTACGGAGCACCGGATGCGAGCGATCTTTGCTGTAAGATTATGCCAAATTTTGCGGCGAACATAATGTGATTATTAGACAAAAGCTGTAAGGCGGCAAAACTCAAAAGAGATATTTTCTTCTGTTCATCACCCTTTCGTCTCGATTGCTTCGGAGTTTTGGTATTCAAGCTTCGGACAGACATGTGACTTATAAGAACTTCATTATGACAAAGCTGGGAAATGCAGACTTCAATCTCACATGAGGCATACAATCCGGAGCCAATTCCGGTGACTATGCGTTCTGGTTGATGAGCCTAACACCCGTGAACCAGGCAAACACATTACAGACCTCGGTCAGTTAACCGCAACTTTCATCTCTCAACACTTATCGTTCAACACAACCCACACGACAAATCATAGCCCAGAAGTAGGGCAGGCGGGCTATGCCATGTCTTCTCTCACACCGGTATCAACGCAATCAGACACCCTGCCAACACCTCGAGTCCTCATCACGAACCTCATCAACTCCCTCACCTCGGTCCCTCTACCACCGCCGGGAAACACCGCCGGCAACAACGCAGTTGACGCAACAAACCCCCTCAAAACCCTCCCGCAATCCCACCGTCCGCTCCTGGTAACCCTCCACGTCCTCTTCCCCTCCCTCGTCCTCCCGGCCCTAGATCTCCTGGACCGAAACCTCGTCACGCGCGTGGTTCCGGAGACCCCTCCCTCCGCCGGCCACGGCCGCGGCCGCGGCCACCGGGAAGGGAACAACAACCCCGCCAACCCCGCACCCGCCGCCCGCCAACATCAACCCAGTATCAATGCCAACGACACCGCGTCCGAAGCGGTCGTCGCCGATGGACAGGGGTCCTCACCACCCCGCCTCCAACCAGCAACAAACCAAACTTCAGCAGCCGCCGCCGCCGCATTCCACCTCGTCCGCTCCGTAGCCTCCACAATGACCCGCAGACACCACGCCGTCGCGACAACAGCCTCCGCGTCGACGACGTACCTCGTCCACCTCGATACCTGGAACTGCTCCTGCGCCAACTTTGCGTATGAAGCGTTTCCGTCAGTCGTCAATGCTAGCGGCGGCGGGCGTGATGCAGGATACGGAGGAGCGGATTCGGAGCTGGTCATCATGGGCGCGGATGGAGCTGAGGACGATGATAACGACGACAGCGAGGCGAGTGACTGGCAGTTTGGAGGTCTAAGTCTGGACGGCGTGGATGATGGCGGTGTACCTTGCTGCAAACACCTGCTCGCCTGTTTGCTCTCCGAGCAGTGGGGGGATACGTTGGGGAAATATGTCACTGAGAGAAGAGTGAGCAGGGAGGAGATGGCGGGGTTGGTTGCGGATGTATAGTCACTCGACAGTATAGCACCTCAATGAACAATAGCACGGGGTCTCAGAGCATCAGTCAAAACATGCTATCATTGTACAAGGCATACTCTCTTCTTGTGAATTTGCCTGTTCCCTCCCCCGGCCTTGCCCCCCAGGACGCCGAGATATTATGACATGACCACGCCCCAGTGTCTATCGCGGGTATCAGTTCCCGTGCTTTGAATGCGTGTGGTTGCTCCGTCCACTGCGTCATCGCGCAGTCCTCTATTTCTTCTCCTTCTTCGCCTCCTTCTCCTTGTCAGAAGCCTCCTTGCTCTCGCCGTTGACACCGTTCGCCTTGTCGTCCTTCTTTCCATCCTTGCCGTTCGCTTCCTCCTCCTTCTTGGCCTCCTTCTCCTCTGCCTGCTGTCGGTTCTGGATCTTGTTCTCGATAAGGTCGTGGAAGGCAGTGATGGCGCGGATCAAACTGCTGAGGTAGATGGCCATGAGCTGGTCGTTGGTCTTGATGCTCATGGCGTGAGAGAGCTCGCCGCCGCTCGACTTGCCATCGGCCTTTGGCGTGGACAGGTTGGGAAGCAGGTTAAAGACGTCCTGTAGGTTGCCCAGGATGGCGTGGTTCACGGGCAGCTGGCCGTCGAGAACCTTCTGGAGGTAGGCACCGATATCGCGGAGGCGAAGATGCAGCCCTTGGAGTGACTGAAGCTGGTTTGTTATTCTCGTTGAGAGGGTTCCGACAGCGACATCGCGAATGTCACGAAGGAGGTGCTCGACACCAATCTCCTCTGCTTCCTCGGCCTCGATGATCGACGGGGTGTGGACGAAGGTTCTTGACGTGGTGGTGCCGTCCTGTAGTCATGTGTGTTAGCAGTTGCTTCGTACGACAGAACATAACGCCACTCACATCCTTGATCTCTTCAACGGCGAAGTATGCGTCCGTCGGCACACCTGCCTCCTTCGGCTGGACGTCAATGATGACTAGGAGAGGGTTGGGGGTGTAGCGCTTGAACAGCTCGTTGATCTCGAGATCGGACGCCCGCAGCTTGGGGCCGGAGTGGTACCAGCCGATCAGCTTTTCTCTTGCGTTGACCTTCTTGAACATATCATTCATTCCCTCGACGTAGTTGTGGTCCAGGAACCACACTGAGGGGTCCTTGTCATCTTCCTCGAACGGCACTGCGAGCATGGATTAGTACCGCGGGGATGACCTAGATGGATAGCTTCCTCCAGACTGGTCCTTACCTGCGAAACTGTTGGATACGCGGACGTTGTTTCCGTCATTTGAACCAAGCAGAACACCCACCACTCTCCGTTTCGATCCCTTGGCTACCGCGCGATTGTAGTGGTCGACGACGGAAAGAAGCACGAGAGGGGCAACGGAGACATTCCGCTGAACGAGAGACAGAGTCTCCGCGGTGGTGGCAGGCATGATAGAGGAATTTCGTAGCTTCGTTAGGTCGATTGGTTCGGATTCGGGGGACGGTAGAGAGTTGCTGGATCGGTGGTGGTTTTGGGTTGTGGTGGGTGTAGTAGAGGCAGGGTATGTGATGGTGGTGGTGGTGTCGTAACTGCTAAGGCTGCCTTCCCGCCCAGCTAAGCTACGAATCGGGCCTAGGTGCAAGCAGTTGGAAGCTCGAGCCTTGCCAGATCACGTGTGAGAGCTATATCTGAGTCAGCAAGATGCAAGCCACAGTTGTTGAGCCGCAAGCAGCGATCAGCCACAGTTCGGGCCGTGCGACGGTGCCAGGGAATGGAAGCGCACGTCCGATATTTGTTCATTGGACAAGATCTCTGAGAGAGGCCCCAGACGGTCGAGTCCGCAATCGGCCTGCGAGGTTCTGTTCATTCCGTGCTCAGTAACACAGTGACTCGCTGACTGAGGAACTCGACGACGGACTTATTTCCGTCAGGAATAGTCAACCTCAAGATGACAAGTAACAGTTGGACACGAAGTCAAGTGAGGCGCTCGGAGAATTGCGGGTGACTGGGATGACCCCAAGAGACTCACATGCCGCATCCAAAAGCACCAAAAGCACCCAAAAAACACTTGGAAAACAAAAAAAATCTTGACCCAGTGACCTCATACATGGCGTCCCATCCGGTGCGCCGGGGGCCATTCTCGAGAGCTTCTGATGCCGTGCCTTATCCGCAAGCTACCTAGCCGGGCCGCCAATACAGAGCAGGCCCCAATCGCTCGCGGTACTATCCCCCGATGTAGACAGTACGTATCCGCGCTGGACCTCGGCGGAGAGGCAACGGCGAAGACGAGCCAATGGCAGCCGGAGCGCTGTAACGGAAGCGCACGCAGTGGCACCAAGGCGGAAATATGGAGGGCGCTGTTACGCTGCGAAACAGCCGAACGAACGCCTGCCACCCTGTTCCCCAGCGAAAGTCCAGCGGTCCCTCGGAGCACCCATCTGGCCAATGATCAGCCTTCATTCCTGCACTGGGGCCGCTCAGTGGCCTGTCACCTGCACTCAACGAGGCCATGGAAAGCGCAAGCTCGGTACGATGTAGGCGGTACCTGGCACAAACTGGAGGCGGAACCTGGACGACTTGGCCTGTTAGGACCTTGCAGCGATTTCTCAACCTCTCTCGCAATCATTTTTCCCGCAAAAGCTTTAGTTCGCACTGCTCCCCCCAGTCCAACTTTCGACCTCGACTCCATCATCCTCTCCTCTCCTCTCTTCCTCATTCCTCCCTCGTAGCCACACTCGTGCATCTCTTTGCTCCTCCTCCCTCCTATCGTTAGCCTCGGTCCGGCCATATCAATAACCTCATCAACCGTCAAAATGAGCAGTCTCGTTGAGGAAGCAGTCAAGAAGCTGACCAACACGGTCGAGAGCCTCGAGTCCAGAATCAAGTCTCTGGAGGACCGCGCAGCTGGCGGTTCCGGCAAGCTCACCACTGAGGAGGTCCGCATGATCCTCATCGGTCCCCCCGGTGCCGGTATGTAGCTCCAATTGAGCATTCTCGCACGTGCTATTTGTGTCGCGACAGTCGTACTGACGATGGTATTCCACACAGGCAAGGGCACTCAAGCTCCTAAGATCAAGGAGAAGTTCAACTGCTGCCACTTGGTAAGTCAATTGGCCCTATCTGTGCTTGCTGCTACGCTTTAGATCATTTCTAATCGACCATCAAACTCGCAGGCCACTGGCGACATGCTGCGATCCCAGGTCGCCAAGAAGACTCCGCTCGGCCGGGAAGCTAAGAAGATCATGGACCAGGGCGGTCTGGTCAGCGATGACATCGTCATTGGCATGATCAAGGAGGAGCTCGACAACAACAAGGAGTGCAAGGGAGGGTATGGCACATCTTTCTTCTGCCAGAGAACCGGCTTGCCGGTGAAATGGCCACTACTGAATAGGCATTGCTAACTAGAACGACGTAGCTTCATCCTCGACGGTTTCCCTCGTACCGTCCCCCAGGCCGAGGGCCTCGACACCATGCTCAAGGCTCGCAACCAGACGCTTCAGCACGCCGTTGAGCTCCAGATCGACGATTCATTGCTCGTCGCTCGCATCACTGGCCGCCTCGTCCACCCCGCCAGCGGTCGCAGCTACCACAGCACCTTCAACCCTCCCAAGGAGTACATGAAGGACGACATCACCGGCGAGCCCCTCATCC